TAATGTATAATAGAAATAGTGTATTTTAATTTTTTGATCGAATAGGTGGATTATTCATTTGTTGATTTATTATTTTTCTTTTTAGGTCTGCATTCTGCTGTATTTTAGGAAGATATGATTTTGCAAAATTAATGTTCGTGTAACCAGAAAAACCTTTTTTCCCTAGTTTAAACGTAAAACACACCTAGAACAATTTGAATCAGCACAGTTTAAGTTATTTTAGATCGTTATATGTTTTTTAATTGTTATTGTGTAATGTAAAACCGCTGACGCAAGAATTACTGACTGAAACTTCCAAAAACTTTAATTTTCAAAGAGTAAAGTGTTCTTTATAGAGTTGTTCTACTGGAACTAATAGCTGTTCCAAATTTCTTTAGGTATAGTAAGTATACATTTGTAATATGGAATTGAAGATAGAGGAACTATGGTTACAGCAATCTCACTAGACATTTTGGCAGCCAAACCTATTTTTAGTTATAACTTCGTCATGCTGCATCCCATAATTTTGGTCGTTCTAGAACAAAAATAGGGGGCTAGTCATATAATCCGTTTTTTCGATTTTTCTCGCCGAGTTTTTATTTTTTCTATTTGCCGCTTTGGAACAATGTAGAACAACAATATAAAATCTAAAAATAAAAAAATGGGGGGCTAACTTTACGCACTCATTTAACTGCTATCCTAATTTTGAAAATATTCTGTAACTGCACTATTAAAAAATACTATGCATTGAAAGGGTTAATTAATTATTTTTATTAAGTAAACTATTTTAGGAAATTTCACTTCGTTAACGATTTCCTCAGCAGCTTTCTGGTACCCACAAAATGGTGTACTTCATTTTGTCTCTCTATGGCTACTGTCAAATTTATTGTGGTAAGATTTAAATTTATTTCAAAAACTTTATGAATTAATCTTATATACTTTTAGAATAAAGATTTGATTACTTTCTTAATGATCATAATGTGCTTAACAGCAAAATTTGCACTTCACACTTTTGGGCAGAGATTTACTACAGCGGTATGAAAACTTTAACTTTTTTTCCACTTTTATTAATTTAATCAAAATAGGCTGCTGGAGTGGGCGATGAAATATATAACCTTAATTGGTACGAAGCGGATGTATCAACGCGCAAAAACATTCAAATTTTCCTTCATATAACTCAAAAAGCACTCGCAATCGAGCTACCATTTTTCGGCCAATTCTCCCATGTTGCATTGGGAATTGTAAGTTGTAATAATTAATTTTAAAATAATACAATAAAAAATATTATTTAAGGAATACAAGAGAGTTTACATTTTATATAATTGGATACTAACGATTATGAAATAAAGGTTGATTGTAACGAATTTATGATAAATATTTAGCACCATATGCACCATAGCAGATGTTTATGATTTCACGCATCAAGGCTTAAGTAGTGTAAGAATGAGAGTTCTAGAGCGGAAATTAATCCTGCCAATCCTGCGGTGACGTCACGCCTCAATGTATTAAGTATAGGGAGTGGTGCCAATCGAAGTTTGGGGAAAAAAATAGGTTGGTATTAAAAGTAACTAGAGATCTAGGGATTTTTTAATGAAAATAAACAGAAAAATTTAAATAATATGGCGCCACCTAGATTTGAGTGGTGTAAGTAGGAGTGGATAAATAAAACACAAATTTAATAAAAATAAAATTAATGTATTTATTTTAAAACACAATTTCTTTTCCTCAAATTTTTTTTAACATCAACCCTAATATATTTAAACATATTAAAGACACTGAACCTCTGATGATCGAAGATGCATCTTTCATCAGTGTAGTTGTTGTAGGTTGATCTTGTTTTGCGGAGGTTTCTCCCCCTTTCTTAGGATTTTTTACGCGTGCCAATGCGCAGTACGTGCTAAAATTCGTTCACCATATGAGCATACCTTATATTCATGTACCTTGGGTTTTACCTGGGTTGACCTGGGTTAAGGAAGAGGGTAACTTCCTTTCGTCTCAGAAATCGAATTGAATAGAAACAAAAGATGTCTCCGTCTTCTTCCAGTATAGTCTCCGATTTTTCTGGTGGTTTTTATGACCCTCAGAAATAGTAGCAGCAGTAATTATCACCCCGAAAAAGTACCTGATCGTGATTTATGATAGGCCCTCCTAGTGAACTAAGTCCAGGGACGCACTTCTTTTTTTATTTTATTTCAATTTGAATTATTTAACATTTCTAACCGGCGATTGTCGTTAATTCAAGATTCTTCATCATTGTCATAATAACAGTTGTCACTTTCCGCGCATTCTAAGCTGTCGTCATCAGAAGAATCATCAACACTAATAAAACGATGTACATGTGGCGACACATGCGAATCTTCGACATCTTTCACGTGTTTTATGCACTGCGACCACAATTCGGATGAAATATTATTACATTGCTCACGAATTATATTAATATTGTTTTTAAATATTATGTTTTTGTAATTTCCGTTAATGCGGACCTGAACAACTCGCGCCCGAGATTGGGGTTCGTCAACTACCTGTTTACAACCCCGTCTTTGTCCGTTATATGACTGCAATTAAGTCATAAAAACCACCAGAAAAATCGGAGACTATACCAGCGTCATGTCGGAGCTAACAGCGGACGATTCGCATTAAATCTGAACAGAGCTGTACACTATACGTTAAAATATTATCATAAATATACGACTCTCACATCTTTTCTTTTAAAACACCGACGTTTATGAACTAGAGAAGATGAATTTAAGCAAGTTCGGAAAACATTCGTCTAGTATGACGATCGATAAGTTTGGTAAACACGTACACGAACACAACATTGCTGATCATTTTAAGAAACGTGAAAACGTACAACGTTATTTTAAACAATCAACAATACTTACGTTTAGCGGAGATGGAACTACGGATACAAAAGATAATTATTACATAATTCAAAATTTAGGTTAGGTAAGTAAATATATATACATTTTCTATATTGGTGAATTAGTGCATCACCGATTTGAAGGAGACGTTGAAGTGATTATTAACGGGAGTATCTTCGATCCAAATAAAAAGTTAAATGTTCTCTTCTTTGGAGATAAAATAGTTTGCAGACCCACAACGAAGACCACTTTACTCAAGAAACCATTTATGGTAGAACTGCTCATTGAAATGTCCAGAAAATGAGCGATATTAAAAGGTCCGTAGTAAACGAGTTGCACGCGTCCGTAAGGAAAAATTATAAACGCAGACGTGTTATTATTAAAGGTTTACCGGACTTATTTCAAGCTGATTTAGTGGAGATGATACCTTATTCAAAAGCAAATGGTAATTTTAAGTATATTCTAACAGTTATGATGTGGGCTGTACCACTAAAAAACAAAGCTGACAAAGAGGTTACGCGAGCTATGGAAACAATTCTATCGGAAAAGCGGAAAAACATACCGAAGAATCTGCAAACGGATAACGGAAAAGAATTTTACAATGAGAATTTTAAGAAGCTCATGTCACGATTTCACATCAATCACTACAGTTCATTTTCCAATTTAAAGAGTTCTATTGTTGAACGGTTTAATAGAACAATAAAAGAAAAAATGTGGAAAGAATTTAGTATGTAAGGTAACTATCGTTGGTTGGAATTGCTTCCCAAATTAATTCTGGATTATAACAACCAAGTACACAGGACGAAAGGAATGAAACCTAGCGAGGTAAATAACAGAAACGCACCGACACTGTTAAAAACTGTTTATAATTACATAAAAATTGCTGATCCTTATACCAAAAAATTTAATGTCGGTGATCACGTCAGAGTGAGCAAGCATCGACACGCCTTCACCAAAAACTATACTCCCAATTGGTCTAACGAAGTGTTTACGATACATTGTGTTCGTCATACTTTTCCGACAACATATCTGCTCAAAGATGCATCCAATGAAAAAATTATGGGTGGTTTTTATCGAGAAGAATTACAAAAAGTGAAATATCCTGACGTCTACTTGGTGGAAAAAGTGCTACGGCGAAAAGGAAATCAAGTGTTTGTGAAATGGTTACGATTATAAAGTATAAAGTATATACAGGTGTCCCGTCAAGCGTACGGAGCGGCTGTATCTCTAGAACGGTAAGGCCTAGAGGTTTGGGAAAAAAATCCCTATAAGCAAAGTGGGCAAGAGAAAGAGCTGGAAATTATTTTGAAGTTCGTAATTCGACCGCTAGGGGGCGTAACTGCCATAGAGAAACATGAAATTCCCGCTATCTCAGAAAGTTAGACGATGAGCTATAACGTTAGCAACATCATTTAGTAGCTTGGATAATACCGCATCGCTTTTGTTTTGCGATATTTCTCATATCTCTCATAATAAGGGAGGGGGAGGCCAACGCATTTTCAAATGTTTACATTTTAATATCTCCTGGACCATTCAACCGATTTGAATATTTTTGGTCTTGTTTGAAAGAGCATTTCATGCTCTTTTAAAAGATATTTTTAGTAAGCCCGCTTGGTTTAAAACAAATAAGCTAGAGGGCGTTATCTGCAGCGGTTACATATTTTTGTGATTTTTGAAAAAAAGTTAAATGGAACGGTACTATTTACTTCACAGACCGTTAATCACCATAAAATTTGCTAAATATTAGTGAAAACCGCATCTCGATATCTCCATCCATTCTCGAATTATAAAAGAAAATGTTAAAAATTCGTATATCTTAATCGGATCAAGTTACCTTA